TTGTCCCCAAAGCCCATTTGTGTCTCATGAGCTTCTTGGGAGGCTGCTTCTGCGTGCTGCTGTGAACTGACTGAGTGAGCAGGTCCTCTGGAGAGGGGGAATGGTCCTTCCTGAAAGAGTCAGAACAGGCACTCTGTGTGGTGCAGAGTCCACAGAGATGCTCAACAGCTGAGCACAGTTGGCCAGCTGCCAGAGTTAGGGCTTGTCTCTGTGTTTGTGTAAAAAGCCGCTGTTTTGCTGGAGAAACAGCGTCTCACGAATGTCTCATGCCATCAGCTGACTCCAAATTCACCTCGCTGTGACCTGTCCTCCCAGGCCTGACGGATGTCAGGGCAACCCAACAGTGTTGCGCTCGCCGAGGATGGTGAAAGCCCACGTTCCAGGGGGAAAAAGGCTCCTCACCTTCACCGTAGCTCTTGGGTGAGCTCAGGCAGGTTTGGCATGGATAAAGGCAGGCTGCGGAAGAGGAAAGTCCAAATCATTTGACTGTGAGAGGGACTAAATCTTTAAAGACTTATGTGAAATCAGCTAGTAAAGAAGTAGCAACTCAGTAGTATTTCTTGAAAATGAAAAATTTGCTCCTGGATATTTTGAGGATAAACATGTTCTGATGCCCTTTTCTGTGTGTAAGGGACAAAACTTAGGAAAAGTTAAAGCAGAGATTAAAGAAGTGAAGTACCGTTGAAACAGCATGGTAAATAACAAAGTTTGCTCTTGGTTTAGTGAGATCTAGGTTTTCAAAATGGTTCTGTAAACTGTTGTGCTTCCGCAGGCTACACTCAATCGGCCAAGCTTGTGATCGGCAGGTGCTCTCACGTTTCTGTTTTGGAAGAACATATGCACTGCCTTGGGATGGTGGGCAGGCCTCTGATCAAGCTGAAGCTCCCTCTGGAAGAAGGCACAAATGTTAGCTTTGAGAAGGCCTCACTGTAGTTTTCTTTGGTGCTCTTTTGCTTCCTTTTTGTAGCATGAACGAACTTCTGATGTGCTGTCTTTAAAGCCCTGCAAAGATAAGATGTGCTTTTCTTTTCCTCTGTGTATTTCAAAAATAAGTAGCAAATTATCTTTCACTGTAATTGAAGTCTCTGAACAGTGCTGCATGCCCATAACTCAGTGTTCAGGGGTACTAGCTATTCAAATATCAGGGCAATAACTTAACATTCTTAAAGTATTAATTTACCTCCTGGCTTTTGAGTAGTGGAGGGATGCCCCTTATTGGCACCTCTGTGCCTCGTGCTCTAGACATGAGGCTAGGCTACTTAGAATTTAGGAGTAAAAGGTTTCCTTTAATCCTGCACTGGCCACTGATGGACTGAAGTCTCCCAGGAGCTGCTTCAAGCAGAGATAAGAGCAGGTGTCACTCACAATCCTAGAGGCTCCTGTGAAATGAGGAGGGAAGGAGGGCTGAGTCGTTCTGCTTTGCAGGGAGCAAAGCGATGGTAGCTGGGAGGAGCACTGTACCCCAAGGCTTGGGGAGATCATTGCAATATTTATTTAAAGTGTGTATTTTAATTTTACTGATTGTGATATGTGTTGTATGTAAAGCTCATGCGCAGGACCAGGGCCTTGTCTTAGGCATCGTGTAAAGGCAGCAAGGGTCCCTGCCTCTCAAGGAAGCTATTTTCTCAGTACCTATCTCCCTGTACATTTTTTTTTTAAACCAGAGGAACCACATTTGTATCTTCTTGTCATCAAGTTAAAGTATCTCAAGCTTTGCTACATGTGGTGCAGCTATATATCTGTGTTGGCAGGCTGTGTCTGCCAGTTCGTAGTCCTGTTGGCATAAGGCTTCGTAGCCTTACCACACAAGAACTGCTGTCTGGAGCTGTTATATGGCAGAGAGCAATATCCTCTGAGCCTGGGAAGAAGCTCTTCCAACTGAGAGTTGTGTGAAGTTGGAGAGAATTAGAGGGTGATGCATGAAGAAGATTAATGCAAAGAGACTAGAGGGGAAAAATTAGGATGAGGACCATGTGAACACATTGAAGAGAGGGGATCTGAAGTTGACAGTTGTTTGTTATAATCTGTTTTAATTTTGTAAAACCTCTGAGGAGCCTTATCCAAAGGCTTGCAGTGAACTAGGCAGCTAAGAAATAAGATACAGGTCTTGCCTAGATGATACAATAATGTGTAAGTAGCCCTCCTGGTGTGGGGAGCTAGTGAGTGGGCTTCCACAGATTGCAGTACTTGTGTGCATGCCTTTAACATGGTCAGAAATGATCTTGGAAACGGGGATGAACAGTGAGGGGCTAAAAGTTGATGATAATACTTCTTTATTCCAGATGATAAAGTAGACTTAAACAGACTGCTAGTTAATTTTTTTTTTCTCTCCCTCCCCAGGGTAGAAAATACTAACTTAGCTATGGCCTCTGAGCTAAATGCCACAACTCGCACAGGATCTCAGTGGTTTGATGCCTGAGTGATAACATCAGCTTGCTATTGAGTAGTCGTCATTAAACAAAATATTAGAATTACTTGGAAAGGAAGCAGAGCAATGTCCTTATTGCATGCACTTAAACTATTGCATAAATTCATGACTTGCCTGAGTTTTTGTGTTGTCCTGATATCACCCGTCTCTATCGTGTCAAAGAATAAGTAAAATGGTAAAAAAATAAGTATAGAGAACATCAGCAGGGATGATTGAAGGGGTTGTGTGGATCTCATGTAGAGAGGCTGAGAAAGCTGAGACCCTTTCACCTGGAGAGGAAGATTATCCTCTGAGGAGGGGCATCTTCGCTCCCCCTCAGTGTAGTGGATGAAGAAGGAATCAAACAAAATTCCCGCATAGTGGATTCAAAGCAAGCTTTTACTTAAAAGGGGTGGTTATGCTTTGAAGCTCTGCATATGTTCTGCATGGTGTCGAGGAAAGATGGGACTAGCTCATGAAATTTATTGGGGTGGAGGGGCATTAGATACCTACGTTTCTTGAGCCAGCATACATTTTGTGAGAGTTGTTGAAAGCCAGGAGTTCTTGGGGGGAATCCTCAGCAATGTTCTTTCTTTTCCATAAGCATCTACTGAAGGTCTTTATGTGGGATCATTATTGGTGCTGTTAACCTGCAGCCTGACTTGGTTACAGCAAGCCTCATGCCCTTAAATAAGGAAAATGTTTCCTTGAACTGTAAGTCAGTTTGTTTTGGGAAACTTGTATCTTAAGAGGTGTCAGCTGCTGTTTTGTTGAGCCCATTGGCTCCATGAGACCACTTGGGTCACATTGTCACAGGTCACACTGTTGCTCAACAAGCTGCCTCCTGTTTTGTGGGCTAGGGGAAAGCTGTATTTGGGAAGGGAGAAGCAAAAGAGAAAACAGTGCTCTCTGCTAGGAAAAAAAATACTTAGATGATACTTAAGATTACCTGGCATATTTGCACAGAAATGCATGAAAGGTGCGTGAGCGATGCTTCTCGTGTGCCTTTTAAGCTGTGAAATGGTGGATATTCTAGAAAAGTCTTCCCTGGAGTGCACAGATAAGATTCTCTTGCAGATGAAAAATGATGTCGGTTGTGACGTGGCCGTAGAAGTGTGGGGGCATCAATGTGAATGTGCAATCAAAGTGTCTTCTCGGTTTCTGTAGGTGTTTGGTCCATGTTATCAGCCTAATGTGAACGGACTGTGAAGGAAACTCTTCGAAATGGTTTTATGTACAGCTCGCCTCCTTACAACATAGGCAAGCATCTGAAATGCAAGAAACCTGAATCCTGAAGCAGTGCTGCAACTTCGTCATTTCTTGCTGAATTTTTAGATAACCTTTGGTTTAAGTTAGTGCTGTTATTTTGTCAGATAATTAGCACTGTATTTGCTATCTGAAACAGATTGACAAATAGGCATTTCTTTAGCTTTTCTAGATGCCAGCAAGTTGAATATTTTTGGCCATACATTAATTTCATGAGCATTTGAAAGCTGTTGCCTTAAGTGAAGAGAGGGAATACTTCCTTCCCATGTAATTATTGGGAAGTGTTTATGACCCTAGGCAAATATATTTTGAATGTATCTACCTGAAGAGCTTAGAATCTAACATATCTCTGTAGCCATGGGTAGTATCCTGATCTTACTGGGTTTAGGTTCTCGTGCTAACACATGTTTAACAAATTAAGTACTTTTTTTTTCACTTTTTTGAGTGTCGGGGGAAACTTTTTAGCAGCTAGAATTCTCATTAGCTCAGGCCCAGTGGTTCAGGAGAAAGTACTGTGGTAGCAGTGATAGCATTACTCACGAGGCATTACTCGCTCTGTCTGCGAGTTCGAGTTACCAAAAGCATCTCTTGCTCTGGAGACTGAAGTCCTCTAGCTATAACTTTGCTCATTGAAAATGTTGTTATGCATCGTAGATGCCTCATGGTAGGTGAGATTTAAAGTAGTCTCGACACTTAAATTTTATACTTACGGTATCTCGAATGCCTGTGGGATGATACTTCCAGGGACATTTAAATGCTGATCACCGGGGACATGGAAATTAGCAGTGTTAAATAGCTTGGCACAGTGGTATCAAATCTGTTGTGAAATGGAGTAATTCTCTGTATTTAAAGCAACTACTTTTGTTTTTTATTGGGCTAGAGCATTCATGCATCCACAGAAAAGTTAAGTTGCGTTTAGTATTAAAAGGAACCCAGTTAGCTGCAAGTATTCTATAGTTGCTGTTTCCTACAGAAGTGAGTAACAGTTACCAAAAGGGTTGTAGGACTCTTCTTACTGCATTTTTTTTGTTTTATACATTATTTTTAATTAGAAACTACTGTTTTTTATTCTGTATTTTTACTATAGTCCTGTGCTATAAAATGCAGCCCACTATTTTGCTGGTATTTCAGATTGCTTAAGTTGATCTGTTTTAAGCCAGGATCAAATTCTTCTGTATTTCTATGTGCTTTTTTTAGTGTGAGGATTTCAGAATACCATATGGAAATCTGCTCTTTGTATTACAGTGTATATTCTATCATATTTCTCCAGGGTTATGTAGTTTACTTCTGTTTTGCCATTGATGGCAGCTGGCTGTAGATGTTGGAAATCTAATGCTGCTGTTCTTAGTCTTTTTCTTTTTTTTTTTCTTTCTAGGGTTTGAAATCTAAGAGAATGGCAGATATTGACAAGTAAGTAAAATCTCTTGGTAAGAGAGGCTCAAACTATCATGCTATGTCCTGTTTCTTACTTTAAATGACTGTTCTCTGGATGCTTGAGAGAGGATCTGCTACAAAGCAGTAGTCTTGGCACTGTGGCACATATCACTTGCACGTGGGAGAAGAGCTTGAATTGCTCATGCCAGATGGGTTTGAGATCATCAGTGTAAATCAGTCTGAAAGTGGGACAAGGACTATTTAATTGGCTCTATGTTGGTTGGAATTTGTGTGGGAGAGGGAGAAGGAAGTCATACCTGTTACTACAGTTTTACTATATGTAGTAAAACTACATATAGTTTTTCCCTGCTTGGAATGCTCACGCTGCATAACATTGAAAGCATTGCTTAGGTAAACCTGTCTGTTGTTTAAGCCTGCCCATTTTATCAGGAGCATTCGTAAGAGGCCAAAAGCCTTTTGTAAAAAATGGAGTTTTGATAATTCCAGAAAGTTATTAGCTCTTCAGACTGTTCCGAGCCTGTTGAAACAACTCGTAGAGAGAGACATTTTGCTTTGACTGTTAAGGCTTCTAGTTTGTCTTAGAACTGCTGCATCAGTTTGCTAGATCTCTAGCATGAGCTGTTGCACCTATTTTAAGAAGCTTCTTTATAACATTAACTTCTCAATCCTGTTACTGAATATTCCTAATAGCAAAGAACAGGCTGAACTTGATCAACAGGATATGGAAGATGTTGAAGAAGTAGAAGAAGAAGCTGGTGAAGATGCCAACAGCAAAGGTAACCATGAAAATAAGGCTTTTTTAAGCTGCTGCATGTTTGCCTTGAAAGTAATGTTAAATGAATTTTACTGCTTAAGCTACATGAAAGTGATAAAGCATAAATACTGACGTGCTGCTAAGCACAGCTGAGGCCCATACTGTTACGTTTACATTCTGAAACAAGGAAGGTTTTTCTAATCAATCAGGTGACTCTTAAAAATTATTCGCAGCCATTCATTTTAATCAAGGTCATTAATTTATTCAGGCGGTGCTGGCTGCCTGGAAGGATATACGGTTGAAAAGAAATCTTTCTTATGAGTAGATTCTTTCAAAAAATACAGCAGCCAAAAGGTTTTAAAATGTAATATCTTGAATAGGAAAATATTCTGTATGTGATACAGGTATGTGTAATATTAGTCTGTGCATATGCACTCAAAGTAAAGCACTCATTAAATCTAGGTCTGAAACAGTTTTGCTTCTTTGCATTTTTTGTAAAATGAAAGGAAAATCACAGCTTTATTCCAGAGTCCTTCCAAAGAAGTTCCGCTACCTTGAATTTCTTTGGTGAGTTCAAATTTAAAGAACTCGATGCAAAAGTGATGCTTTTGGGGGCATCATAGTAATCCTTTCTTTTTTTAACAAAAAAAGATAGTTTTCTGAATGCTTATTATTTAATTCAGACACTGCCTCTTTCCCCTGGATCATCAGGATAGAGTAGACTTGATCCATGCTTACAAAATAGAGAGAGATTTTGATATGCTTCTATCTGCCCTGCGTTTCTCCTTACATATGTATAGTATACCAGCGACCTTTTCCTATTACTAAAATAACTTTCCTTGGGTAGTCTATTTTGCATTTGCAGATTTTTTTCATTTTTTTTTTTTAAGCTCGACAGTTGACTGTGCAGATGATGCAAAATCCTCAGATTCTTGCAGCCCTTCAGGAAAGACTTGATGGCCTGGTAGGAACATCTACAGGATATATAGAAAGGTACAGTGTGCTCTAATTTGGTATGGCTGAAGTGGTGTAAATGGTGCTTTTGCTTTCCAAACAAATATTGTCTCCAGTACTAATAAAGATGAGCTACTTGTGCTTCCAAGATGACAGAAAAACTTATGTAGTCACTCTGTAGTGAATTTTGGAATTGAAGAGGCCAAACTTCCTCCCTGCCCCCCTGCCTAATATTACAAGTGTCTTTTATAGCTTTGCTTTAATTGTAGAGTCGTAAAATGTCAGTTTAGGTATGGGCAAATTCTTAAGAGACCTAATGTTTCTAATACCATCATCCTGTAGTTATGGTGTAAGTAGAAAAGTTAATAACATAAGGATTGCCTTACTGGTGTTTCACGTGGACTCCTTTTGTATCAAGATTTGAAACAATCTGTCATTTGCTATTTTACTCAGTCTGCACTAATAATGGCAATTTTGATGCTTATGTAATTTGTTGCCCGTAAGTTTTCCATCAAAACCACAAGAGTTATGGAGCACGTGACTATCTTTCTGAAATATTATTATGCTGTAATATTAGTATGTTGACTTGATCTGGGGCTGCTACTGAGTAATGGGCTTATCTATTACTGCTCCTATTACTGCTGCTACAACTTTTCCCTGTTTCTATAGGTAGAAGTATGGAAAGGTGGAAGTATGCAAGAAGGCTGGTTTAGCTAGTAGCTTTCCTAGTACATATTGTTACAAGAAAGGGCATGGAGTCAAAGGGATTCCTTGTTTCCCCTTTCTCTGTCATATAGGTACACATCTGTATCAATTACAGTTACCTTCTTTGAGGTGAAGGAGGAATGTCTTGAATTTGTCTGAGATGAAATAACTTCAAAGTTATTTCATATTTTTCTAATCTTTACTGATCTTTCTGGTCCTTGATCTAAAAAGTGAATAAAACACGTTATTGATTTACATGCCATTCTTCTCTTCAGCTGTTCCCTCTAAGATGATATACTATTTTTATCTTTTGAAGTACGGTAGCACACCCTCTATTATAAAAACATAGCAACTTTGTCACTGTATCAAACAGTTACTGAACTTACAGTGGAAAAAGCTGGAAAAATGTGTGCAGCTTGCTGAGCCTGTTCTTTGTCAACATGTACATGCTGGTTTAACCATGCTTTATAGGTCTCTTCAGTGTCTTCCCAAGTGTCGTTTTAAGCTTATTTATCTAGAGCCTAGACACAGAGATGGCAAAGAAGCCAGCAGGAGTGTGAAATGTTAAGACTGTTGTTTGGATTATTAAGGAACTGGATGCTTGGAAGCTAAACGGGTTCTAGGAAAACAGCTGCACGTGCTTAAAATCTGCTGGTTCGGCAGCTACCTCATAACTTAGTTCTCCAGCAGCAGTTGAAATTCCCTTGACTGCTTGGTAGAGGTTGTGTTCTTGTGTGATCCTACCAGTCGTTATTGGCTTGTGCTCAGAGCACCAAGCTATACGTGCCATTTGCTCTTGTGTGTTCCTGTTCAGGCTTCTAGGTCTATCTTCCCTTTCCCATGCGCTTATTACTGGTTCTCTTTCATGAAGCTGTTCTTTCTTTTAAAGTACAGAGCTTCTAAAAGTAGTGGATGTACAAATCCTGAAATGTGAACTTGTTGGTGTAGTAGACTCTTAGGAAATGTAGCTGTGTCTAGTGTGTGTTATGTCATGTTCTGTAACAAAGGGATTGACCTGCTGCTCTGGCAAACTAGAACTGGACATAGGGCATGTATGGCACTGCCATCTTAATTTCATGATTGCTTTTGAATACAATTGCTAGAACTAGTATTCTTAGTCTAAATATATCCATGTGGCATCAGTTGAGTGATAACTGTATTATTTAGTTGTCTTTTATTATTATTATTTTTTTTCTCTCCCTGCAACACTTTCCTGACCTGACTGAACATGATACTCAAGTTGCTGTTTGTTCTGGACTTGTTCTTGAAGCTAGAATTGCCACGAAGGGACATTGTGGCTAGGTGCTGGGAGCATGTGAGAGCGATGAGAATGTTATAAACCTTTTTGAACACTCATGACTAGACTTGAGCTTTTTTGGAAGTACCTGCAGCCCATACCTTTCTGATTCTGTGAAATGTCTTGGTAGCCAGAGACAGGATATTCCTGTGGAGCATAAGCCTGCCAGGGAGAATAATTCTACATTTTAAAGTAAACAAAGATGCTGGAAAATGTGCATATCCTACTTAATACAGATAAATTAGTATTAGCAATTAATAAAGTGCCGAGGACTGTACACATTCTTGTTGGTTACTTCCACTAACCTGAAGTTATCTCTAACAATAAAAAGTAATCATTTAGTACTGTGTTCAATTATATAGCCCAGCTGCTTAAGTGAAGCAAATATGGGACATTGACAGAAAATCTTCTGCAGCCAAGTGCCAAGGACTGTCTCAGCTCTTGGGAAGTGGAGACTGTCTACAGTCTACCCCATAAAGCTCACTGAATGCTTTCATGTAGGTGTCTTTGTCCTGACACTAAGTTTATATTAATGAAGTTTGCTGCAAGTGAAGCTTAGTTACAGCTGACCAGTATTTCTAATGGAAATTGCTTTAATAATTTCGTGGTATGTATATAATGTACCATATAATACAGTGATTCATTTAGCAAAGCAGTTCTTCCTCACTTTGGGAATGATAAATAATATGTTTAAAAAGTGGTCGTACTAGCTTCTTTCATGACTTTTTTTTTTTTTTTTAAAGATTGACTGATTTCCTTAATGAAATTTCCTTAATTTCCTTGATTGTCTTGAACTTTTTTTCTGCAAAGCCAAGCCAACTAATAAGTAATTCTTTCTTATTTATGCTCACCCATATGAATTTACTATACTGTTCAGTGATAATGTATAAGTTATTTTTAATGTGAAGCTTTGTTGCATAATTCTGTCCAAAGCTTGGTCCAGGTATATGAAAAGCTATGTGTCTAACTATCTAAAACATCAGCTTAAAAGCCCATGCTAGCAGTTTGAATTAGTGTGGTTTAGTGGATGGTTCAAGTTGTGCAGCTTTCTAAAGCTTAAAATAGAGCGTAAAATCTGTTTTGAGGCAAGTTGATTGGGAGTGACGGTTAAGGAAGGAAGGGACAGCATGGATTCAAGTACAGTGTTTGTAACAGTTTTCTCCCTGAATTTTTCAGCTTGCCTAAAGTTGTTAAAAGACGTGTGAATGCTCTCAAGAATCTTCAGGTTCAGTGTGCACAGATAGAAGCTAAGTTCTATGAGGAAGTCCATGAGCTGGAAAGAAAGTATGCTGCCCTCTATCAGCCCTTATTTGACAAGGTATTTTAATGCTAATCTGATTTGTGCTTAAAAGCTCTAGCTTAGAAGTAATTCTAAAACACAAGGGAATATGAATTGAAAGCTTATGCATGTTCTCAGTTACTTTGATTTCATACATGCCCATTCAGCTGAACTGACATCAATTCACCATCTGTGTAAATATCAAGACTAAGGAGGAGTGTTGGTCAGCCTGTTCCATGGTTACAATAATCAGTTCAATATGCTAGGCTTCATCCTGTCAATTAAACATATCTGAAGAGGTAGTAAACTTTGGGGAATTTTGGTGCTTATTTTGGACTGTTGGAAAAAAATTGTAACTGCTGAGTCTTCAAGCTTGTAGTAAAAATTTTTAGTAAGGGCTTAATGCAATAATTGTTCGAATATAGGATTAGGAATTATTGGGTAAGGCACTGGTGATGGCAATGACTAGCAAATGTGGAAAAAAAAAATCTGATTTAATCTTCCAGCGAAGTGAAATCATCAATGCAATTTATGAACCTACAGAGGAAGAATGTGAATGGAAAGCAGATGCTGAAGAAGAGATTTCAGTGAGTATCATAATTAGGTCACAGCATTTCAATCCTTAAAATGCATGAAGTAAAGTTAAATATTTAAGTCTCCATGATTTTTCATGGATACCTTAAAGCATGCACATGAAACTTAGTTTTGTTGATACTAGTATAGACTATGTTGGGCATAAACCTTGTGGGCACTTTCTTGAAATCTAGGAAAAACTAACATTTTTATTCTATCAAGGAGGAAATGAAAGAGAAGGCCAAGCTTGAAGAAGAAAAAAAAGATGAAGAAAAAGAAGACCCTAAAGGAATTCCTGAATTCTGGCTGACAGTGTTCAAGAATGTTGACTTGCTCAGTGATATGGTTCAGGTAGGTGGTGACCTGGGCTTGTGAAAGGTTGTTTTAGTGCTTAATCCAAGCGTGTTTTCCAAGAAAAGAGTAGAAACAGTGCATTGCTTGACATCTCTGCTAGAGTGAAAGTGAAATGAGTACTGGGATGTCATCTCTGATAACTGTGTTCGGCTGAGAGCACACTGGAATTCTTACTGTGAAATTTGTTGGGCTTGTCATTTTATCTCTTATTTATATTCCCTCTGTGTATGTAAGCCTCTATGTGTATAGTACAACAGATATATCTAAAAATTATTTCATGCTTGCATAAGGTATTACTATAATGAAAATTCTGTACTGTTCCTATTATTGCCATCTGCTGGTCATATTCATGAAAGTGTTTTAGCACCGTACCATGCTCTTCTTAAATGTAAAGTATATATGGCTTTTATATTTGCAAGAACATAGTTTGGTGTACTTTTTTTTTTAATGAAAATTGGATTTACTTTATTTACAGGAACATGATGAACCTATCCTGAAACACTTGAAAGATATAAAAGTCAAGTTTTCAGAAGCTGGACAGCCTATGGTTAGTTTAACCTATTGAACAAGCTTGATACTACATGCTTTTATTTTATTTGGGTATGTTTAGTGGGTGGGATAAGCAGGTGTGTCATGGCAGACTTCAGAAATACATGGTTTCTTGTCTTCCAAAAAATACGAGACCTAGTATGTGTCTTGCAGTCCTCCATGAATGGGTTTGTTAAATTAACCTTCAAATTCTGAGTAAGGAATTTGGCATTAATGTCTGCTGGCTACATTTCACCTTTGAATTTTGAGACACTTTTCAACTTTTAGGCACTTTGGTAAAATTAATGCAATTGGGATGCGTTCCTTGCCAGAAACTTAATAGCTTGCTAAATTCTAGTATTTTAGGTATAGAAGTTATGTCTGTACTGTAGCACCAAGAAAGCTGTACATCCAGACATCTTATGTCATTACTGCAGGCAGTGTTTGGAAGTGATGAACTTGTCAATGTAGTAAACAAAAGCATTTTAAGATTTCTTGTGCACATCTGGTCTAAAATTTCTAGAATAAATTGCGTATGTGTACCTTTTTGGTATTAATGGAGATTAATGTGTTCTGTTGCATCTGTTTTTTGGATTTGGGTCTTTTAAGTACTTGAGTTTTTTTTTTAAGTGTGTGTTGCTAAATTGCTGAAGATTCTCTTTGCAATTGTCTTTAAGAGTTTCACATTAGAATTTCACTTTGAAACAAATGATTACTTCACAAATGAAGTATTGATAAAGACATATAGAATGAGGTCAGAGCCAGATGATTCTGATCCCTTCTCCTTCGATGGACCAGAAATCATGAGTTGTACAGGGTAAGTATTAGTTAAAAACAAAACAAAAAAAACCTAACTTAATAGTAATACAATGTGTTCTTTCAGTACTTTCTGGGCATTGGCGTTATCAAAGTACAGGCCATCTGTACAGGCCATTTTTCTATCTGCTTGTGAAAGTGCTGAAAGATACTGTTATCTAATAACTTGTAAGTAGCTTGGCTAGGTTGACATTTTCAGTAGCATAATTTCTTTAAAAGCTTCAATTCGTATTGTTTTGAAACATTAAGGACTTTTTTTTTTTTCCTCTCCTTTCTGTGTTATGTGCAGAATCACTTTTAGATTGGGTGAGAAACACCTCTGCAATTGCTTGGAAGCTGAAGTAGAAGCTAGATAGAGTATCTTTCTCTAGTCTTTGGCTTTTTTCTGAAGTTTTGATCATTCTCTTGAGTATTTTTTTATTTCTGACTGACATAGGCAACACCTTGGGCATTCAGTTCCAGTTTTACTTCTGTATCACAGTTGTCTAGTGTTTTTCATAACAGTTAAATGTTAACTCATTGCCTTTCAGTTAATCTGAAAAATAGTGAGCAGTTGTCTCCCATCTACCGTAGCTTTCTCATGATTTTAAAGGTTCTGTCACATTCCCTTTTCCATAATGTTTTCTGTTCTGAACTAGCTGATGTCCACAGATTATATAACTGTTTTCTATGCATTTCCTTCCCCCTGTGAGGAGAAATAGGGGAGAAAACAGCTCCACATAACCAGCATGAGGGTACACCAGGGCTTTGCATGTCCTGATCAGTTATGTTCCTTTTTTATTAATGTGTTTTTTAACTTCCCTGGCTGCTGCACAGTAGATATCTGTGAAACCAACAAGAATGATGCCAATATCTACTTTGAGTGGCAATAACTAATTTGGAGCTTATCACTACATTAATCAAGGCTGTTTTTTCTCATCTATTACTATGCACTTGCTGACTTTTCTTCTGTATTTTTAACAACGTATCTAGCTTATTTGAGTGTTTAGGAGCACGACTGAGAGATTTGTGCAAATACAGGCAGTCTTACTGATGTAACTTTTTAATTTGCCCCTGGAGTTCTTTAAATGTCAGGCAAGTCTGGGGCATGATTTTCTACCCCCAACCCTCTGTGGTATAGGGACAAAAATTACCCATTTGTTTGACTCATTACTTGAAATGGCTATTGCTCTGCAGTGATGGTGGTATCAAGTGTTGCATATTATTAGCATGACTAAATATAACAATATTTTATAAAGCAAAACCAAAGAAATGAGTCTGTCATTATCTTTTGAGCTTACTACAGTTTTAAAATGAAATCTTATGTGTAGGTTGCACTAAAAAGGGTGTGACACCTTCTTGGATATGATACTAAATAGAACCTGATAGCAGATGAAGACTGGTATTTTGGAGGGAGAGTGGAAAAGAGAAAACTTCATGGAAAAACTTCATTCCCAAAATTAGCTAGCTACTTTCATTGGTGAAGTACAAACTAATGACAACATGTTAGCAGTGATTAGAGTGTATTGTAGTATTTTCTGCTCACTGTATCCCTTAGAGGTGATAGTCTCAGTAAGTTGAAGTAGATGGAATTACATAAACCCACAGCTCTCTGCCTCTTTTTCCTCCTTCTCTAGTTGCCAAATAGACTGGAAAAAAGGAAAGAATGTTACTTTAAAAACAATTAAGAAGAAGCAGAAACACAAGGGTCGTGGCACAGTTAGAACAGTGACAAAAACTGTTTCTAATGACTCTTTCTTCAACTTCTTTAGTCCTCCTGAAGGTAAACAGAATATACATCAGTTTATATAAATGGACTTTGTGTGGTATATATTTTACTGACTTATTTTTTTCTTTGTTTTACAGTTCCTGAAAGTGGAGATTTGGTAAGTTGACCTAAAGCAATATGTTTCCATATTTAACTGGTAATATTTATGTGGCAAATGATACGAATCTGCTCCCTTTTTCCTTATTAGAAGGAATACTTGTTGAGTTGGACAGTGGATTTGAGTCTAGTAAGCTTCACAGCTTCTTTTTTGAAAGATAGCTTGTGAACGGTTAACTTTTAAATAAATTAAGTGATCTTTATTATTAGGCTTTACTTTATTTGGTGTTCTTAGAGTCCTTCCCTTTGGTTAAATGGTCTTTAATTGCTACCTGCACATGAGTAGCTTGTGCTGTTAATTATTTTTAAGCTATTAAAGCTCTTGGAGACAGTGGTAGAACAGTCATAGAAGTCTCCAAGAGCCCACTGTTTTCAGTGTGCTCAGTCTCACTGAGAGAAAAACCTGTGGCAATAAGCTGCAACTGTATTTTTTAATTTTTAAATTCCTTTTTGTAAGGAGGAAAAACTACAGAAAACATTTAACAGTGCCAAATAATAAGCTATTCCTCTTGTGTGAGGAGGCTGACTAGAGCCTCCAGAATCGTGCTGTTGAAACTCCAGTTGTCATGAACTCTGATAGTCAAGAAAGACACCAAAAGTTGTATGTTCATAATATTTAAAATTTGTAAGCCTTTTGACCTGAAAATCACGTCTCAGGCATGAGCCAGCATAACATTTGTGTGTTCTTAACACTTGTGTTTGGTTCTTAACAATATAATAAATGAGCTGAAGATCCATGGGAGGTAGGGAAGGTGTTTGTATTGAACTACTTCTGTGCTTAAAAGCTGGGGAGCAGTGGAAGAGTACAAGTTAAACTCCAAAACTCTGTATAATTAGGCTTACCAGAGAAATGAATCTTGGACATTGTACCATGAGTAAACTGCAGGTGCAAAATTTGATCCGACAGCTTTAATTCTATAGAGCAAGCCCGGAATAAAAAAAAAGTCAGGGCACTGGATTTGTGTGCATCCAACGATGTCAAAAGTTTGTTTGTGTCAAAAATAGTTACTGGCTTATTGTTTAGGAAGTAATGTCGCTTTATGCAGGACGATGATTCCGAGGCAATCCTTGCTGCGGACTTTGAAATAGGTCACTTCTTACGTGAGCGTATAGTCCCCCGATCAGTGTTGTACTTCACAGGAGAAGCTATTGAAGATGATGACGATGATGTAAGTAATGCTGTTCCACAGTGCAAAATGCTTTTAAGTAATGCTGCTTAAATTTTGTGTAACTTCTGATTCCTGTAATGTTAGTGTCCTTAGAAGGGAACATTAGTAGTCAACATTAGTAGTTTCATCTGAGCTTCCCAGAAGGTTAAGTAAGAAGCAGTTCACAGTTAATGCCTGTTGGAAGTAGCACCTTGAGAGTTTTGTAGCAGATGTTGTGCTAAAAGATGAACACTTAGCTAAATGTTGTAGAGTATGTCTGAGTAAAAGCTTCTGTGCAAGATATGAACAAGAATAGGTAACAGCTGCATTGATTTGGCTAAATTAAATCCTACCTTGAGCTGAATTTGTGCAATGTAGAATGGTAAAGTTCAGTCCCCAACTTTGAGAGGGGAAAGAACAGCAAGCAACTCAGAGCACCTTACACGTTGAGATGTCCTACTGGACAGAATGTCGTCACCACCTAATAAGCTCTTCCTGTGTTAGGCATGAGGAATCGTAGGATAGATTTGCTCTGCTGAAGAGATCCATGTAAAGGATTGAATGTTTTTTTGCTAATACACAAAACACTTCTAAATCTCTCAGGTTTATTTACTTTTAAAGCACAATACAGTGTAGGTGGTCCCTGGTCAACTTCAGTCATCTAAAATAGATTGATGTCTAAACTTCATGCATTTGTAACACTATCAAAACCTCTTTTTTTCTTTCCTAGTATGATGAAGAAGGAGAGGAGGCAGATGATGAGGTGAGCTGAATAATGGGCTTAAATAATTTCCCTTGTGATCCAAACCAAGAATTCCTTCTATTTTTTTATCCTCTGGGCACTTTAACCTAACTTGTACTTGCTAATGAGTAAGACCAGCAAATATGGGAGGGAGGGAGAGCCTGGGGGAAGACCTCTTAAGTTATCTTGAAGTTCTAAGTTTTGTAGGGGGAAAACTAATACAATATGCATAGCCTAAAGTGAGCATTAATATATTTAGATAGAATTTAACAATAAAAATGTGTCTGTAAGCAGAATGTGCATGAACTGAAGTGTTCTCTTTCAGGAGGGGGAAGAAGAAGCAGATGAAGAAAATGATCCAGATTATGACCCAAAAGTAAGCAATTACAAAGAATTTAAGTGTGTGTTTATATATACTCTTAAAATGTTCATATATCATCTTAAAATCTTCATATATCACAAAATAATGATTTTAGTTTAGATACTTAAAACATAGTGTCTGGGGGATGATAGTTTCAGCCAAAGTTGTTTCAGTCCTGTTTCTGACAGTCGAAGACTAGCAAGGCAACTTTGAAGCTCTTATAGTAAAACATTTATAGAAGTAACTTGTGGCATTAAACACTGGTCAACCTTGGTATTCTATAAGTTTCTATAAGTCTTGCTGTAAGCTGTTTCTTTTTAGCTCAATATGAATGTTCTGAAATACTTGAACGAGAGAACTGTTTGAGTAATCCATATTCAGCTTGGCAGCTTCTCACCAACTGTTCTACTGCACTGGGGAAATCAGGGCTGAATTGATGCCTTTTTTTAAGGGGAGATAATGGCAAGCCTGTTTCTTCAGGTAGTGGAAGTCTTGAGTTCAGGTGTGTGGCTATAATCAACTAATTCATGAGCAGCCAAGAGCAACTGTCAATCCATCTATATATTTAATGGACTTGGCAAATAGCTAATTGGGATCAGTGTGGAAAAGTGATTGAGTCACTAAATTAATAGCTTTTTCCTCAGGGAAGGAAAATCTCCTGCCTGTCCAGTTGGAAGCATCTGAGTGAAGGTTGTAGTCATGAAGATGAAGACAGGATATCTTAGCAAGAATTTTTAGTTCACCCTTGGGCTAGGAGAAGTGCTTGTTCAAATAAGGATATTCAGACTAACACGGATGTTTAACAATTGTATTTGGTCAGTTTGTCAGAGAAATTATATGAGCTATAATCAAAGTACTACTGAAAGTTATAGTCCTAGGAAAGATGTAGGATGTAGAAATGTTAATGTTAAAATGTACAACCTATTGGTGTCATTTCATCTGGTATAGTGCCCAAATTGGTTCCTGTTCAAGAAAGTCTTTTAGAATCAAATTGAAGTGGCTGCTAGTTGGGCTGCTTATTTCTGTCACTTCAGCAGTTCTGCTTACAAAAGCTGATAAGTCCTTTCCCATCAGGCTTAACTGAGCTATAGGACAGCAGCGTAGTGCTCCTGGAACCAGAAGTGCCAGAGAACTAGGAAGAGACATTAATGGTCCTGCACGGTGCTGTTGACACAATAAAAGTTTGTAAGGTGATCACAGGCTGAAATCCAGGAGTAAGTTTATTAAAGCACTGAAGTCCTAAAATAGCTATCCAGACAAGATAGGGAAGTAAAACAAGATGGAGATCAATTTTGGAAATAAAAGATTGAGACTGAACTTTAGCCCTGGAAAGCTTTTTCCTTAAATCTCCACACTGCTGTGAAATATTGCTGCTTATCTGCCTCAACATAGCAGAGGAGAGGACTTCCCCTTGGGAATTTCCTCACAGCTGGAATTTCTCAAAGATGTGTCCAGAGGGATAACCAAGTACTGGGATTTGGTGCTATACAGTGGGTTCTGGAGTAAGGCAGTGTCCAGGTAAGACATTGTTATGAACCCAGAGATGTTTCTTCTGGTTCAAATTGTGCAGAAGGCCTGGATGTTCTTCAGAGGCAGCTTAAGGGAGGATATTTAAATGATTTAAAAAAAAAATGTGTACTGGAACTTGGAAGTATGTTTATCAATTTTAATAGTTGTTTTAAAACACTGGTACCTGCACACTGATGTTTCTTTTTTTTCTTAACAGAAGGATCAAAACCCAGCAGAATGCAAGCAGCAGTGAAGCAGTGTGTATGTGGCCTTGAGGATTACCTGCACTGTAATAGCCTAAACACAACTATTAGTTACTTACAGCCTTATGTTTTGTATCTTGGTAGAATTAAGTAACCAATTTGTTAAATACGAAATCAAACACATAAGAACCAGTTTAAAATGTAGGTTCAATCTACCTAGCATTTTAACAGTATAATTTTCAGCCAATATGTAGAATGCAGCAAATCCCCAAAAGCATGAATGTTAATTCATTGCTACATAGTTTGGTTCTTGTGAAGTCCTTGTCATGTAGCTATTAGACTGCAGCTGTGAAGATTATCAGAACTGTTAACTGAGACCAATATTTGTTTAGAGAAAATCCTCTCCTGAAGAACCAACCAAAGTATTTTCAGCCCAGTAGTCTGAACGGGTGTAAGTCTGCTTGCACTAGCTGTGCCTTCATTACTTTGTTATAGAAAATGGCAGTGACTTGTACTAACTAGGAGATGATGATGCATTTTGAATTTGACTACTTGAGAAGACTAGTATAACTTGTTTAATTTCCAACGAGACCACATTAAACATTCATAACTGTCAGCTTGTTTATGCTATGGGTTTTGTATTTTATGTGACATAGTGATCTACAAAGGAAACCTAGTCATCATATTAAGGTTTATTGTTTACCACTGGGGTGTGAATAAAACCTAGTATTTTCAGAAGCTAGTCTTGTTTTATTATGATGTGTGTATCTGCATGTGTAAAATATTAAGGCGTCTCTTTCATGCTGCAGTTCACTTTCATCAAGAGTTGCTGAAAAGTAAATTATTTAGCATTTGAAAAACAAACACAATGTAATTGTCTGGGAAGTGTGATCTGTGCTTTCCTTTTTGCAGTGTGATAGTTGTGAGCCTAAGCTACGTGTTTCAGTGATTAGTCAACACTGCCATTTTGAGAAGACGAATTTTCATGAGTGGGTCTAGATCTGATAAAGGACTTTGGTGTTGCCATGCCTTACTCAAAGACATGTGGTCATTTGCATGGAATCTGGAGCCAAGGGAGGTGCCTGGGGTTTCCAGTCTGTGGTCTCTGCTGGGATGCCCAAAACCAGACCTGTTCCCCAGCCCAGGGGAGGACTAGGCCACTTAGCTGCTTTCTAGCTTGTTTGCTTCCTGTGTCAAGTATCTAAAGAAGAACCAAAAAGCAAGGAATTTCTTCATTCTCCCAAAGAAGTTGTTTGCTAAACTATTTTTGCATAGTGTGGTTCATGTCCTTGATTCTGGATATTCATTGGCAGCTTAATATGGGATTGATCTCCCACCCCTGTGTTTGTCCTTGCCTCTAGTCCGGTAGCGAAGGCCCTCTTCTGTGAGGAATGCACTCAGCTCGAAGGCACTGACGTCCTCTGCTCAAGTCTTCCACAGTCAATCAGATACTGCAGTCTTGTCCTTGGCGTACCTGGAGAAGTGCAGATTTTAATCAGTAACAAGTTGAATTTTTCAGGGATGGAAACAGGGATGGAGACATCTTCTCCTTGCACCTGATGTACTACCAAGTGTAGCCAGAAGGGGTTGCAGTGTTAAACAGAGCAGGGCGAGAGGGAGGCAGGGGCTCCCTCTGGTGTGAGGAGGAGTCTGGGGGAAGCTTCTCTTGAATATGCCTCTTGCTCGGAGGGCAGATAAAGCAGCATGAAGCTCATCCTAAAGCCCCTTCGTGAATCCTCAGTCCCTCTCAAAGGACAGAAGGAGGCATCTCCTAAACTGCTGTCCCAAATCATCAGTCCTTCTGAGAGGAAGGTCTGCTGTGCTCTGACTGAACTGACTCTTCCTTTGTGTTCCTCAGGCTTGAATGCCACACTGCTCAATTTCAGAATCCTTGTCAGACTTCATGTTTCCTCTCCAGGTAGCCATGAATTTGCGAGAAACAGCTCTTGTTCATAGCTGTACATAAAGCAATGCTGTTGGAGCTGCACCTTTTTTAAGGAAGCCTGTAGCTCCCAGCATAGAAAAATATGCCCCCAAAAAACAGCACACATGACTGTCACTTCATAGCTGTGTGTTAAAGTGAATGTGTCTTTGTTCCTGTGATGACATTAATCATGACAGAATATGCTTAGCCTTGGAGATGCCGTCCTGTCAAGTATTTGTGTATCTCTTGGTCTTTTCTCTCAATATTTCCCAGGATTAGGTTTGAACCGAGCACTGATCGTTTAAATTTGAACTTCAGAACATGCAGAGACCAAGGGCCCAATATGTTATGGGGCTGAGTATTTACTAATGTGGGGCGTGGGATGAGGGGTGGGTCGCACCTTTGAACATGAGAAGCATCCAAAGTCCTTACTTAGATCTAGCCTGTGCTTAGTACCACAAGAGAAAGCACTGCCCAAAGCTGTGCAAGGAATCTCACGAATCATTGTTCTTGTCATGTGAAATCTGGCTTGTGCTTAAATTGCTTTCTCATCTGATAACTTCCTACCGTTCAATGTAATGCAATATTTGAAGATGGGAGTTTGTAGATCTCAAAGCTTACCTGCAGCCTGCAAGATGCAGAGCCACGAACCCATGTCTGCCTACAGACTCTGGTGTACATCTGTCTAGATCAAACTGCCAGTACTAAATCAGCTGTTCTTGTGCCTTCCAGACTGCAGCAAAAGGAAGGGTATAATCATACGAATTGAGATGCCAATTCTTACGGCATGGTTAAATAAAACCTGTTTTGGTGCTCAGCATAGTTCTGTGATATCTCAAACACTCTTGTTTAGCAATTCTGGAAGGCAGTATGTAGCAGGAACATTAAACTTTCAACACTGATTGGAGTTTTGTGACTCATTCTTTTTACTTTTCTTGAATTTATACCAACCATAGGTAAACTCTTCATTTACTATTTAAGGGCAAGTCAGACTAGGAGAATGTCACCGAAAAGAAAACAGACCTTGTTGTCAGTTATTGCAGTACTGCATTGAAATTAAAGAATTGAGCAGATGTGTTTCTCTGTCCGGTTTTGGTTGTTGAACTGAAGGGAATTTCCTTAAGAAGAAAAAAAGGGTGGTTGCTGATGGAGGAGCTAACAGCTACCTGAGAGTTGGGACGAGTGGGAAGGGCAGATGTTTGTGCTTGGTAGAGGGATGCTGCTTGGTACTCCAAAACCCTTCAACAAATGTAGGTAGATTACATTAGCACTAAGTGTTTTCCTTGTCTCCTATAGCTTTAGAAGTGTAAAACAGCTGTTTTAAAACAATATCCTGAAGACTAGATTTAAGTTTAGCATACTTAAGACTTGATTTCTGGAGAAGGGGGATGTCATGTGCAATTAGAAATGCTGTCTTAGGTTAGTTACTTACCAAGTGTTGATATGTGAGGTGTTTAATCATGTCTTCCATAACTAATAGGCTTTGTAAGTATATATTCTCAGCTGGCCTTTCCAAAGCTAGATAGCAGTTACAACTTGGACAGGTTTGTTTGCCAAATGAGAAACCACAGCAGAATGTAGAAACTGTTCAGGAATTGAATGTGCTCATCTTTGCCTTCCAGCTGCTATTTGCACTTCCACCCGTTTTAAGGCTTGCTGCTGTAGATCAAGTTCAAAAAATGATATAAAATTTCAGGTAATCAGTTTGTTTGTGTCCATCAGAGACCTCCAGTCCCCACAGGTGCCTGTGCAGCTGAGTTCCCTGCCTGGTGATGCCCTGTGGCCTTCTCACTGGCTTAGGGAACCAAAGTGTTGAAGCCCTGAGGAAAAGGGACAATGATAGGAGGGCATTGCTGTAGGTACGGCTCTGGTTGGTCGGCAGCGCTGGAGCTTGCAGGAACTTTGTGTGGATGTACTAAGCTCTGTTGATCCAGCCTTTCCTAACCCCAGAGCAGTCGTGCCCAAGATGTCTTGTGTGGGGTGGAGAAGTCCTGGCTTACCCACCCACTGTGGGTAAGCAATGGAGATGTGTTGGTTCCCCACAAGTTTCCAAGCAGATACCAAGGTAATAAATTCATAATCGTAGCGCTACATAAAGTGAAGGTAAATTAATCTACGGGAAATGGTAAGTCTTACTTTTGCATGCATTGCCAAATAAAGAGGAGTTGTCCACATGGCAGGTCAAATCCAAGAAACTTCTGATCCTTCAGGCCCTTCTGCAGGCTGTCTTTGCTGTGCAGTGGGCTTCCACATACTCTCCTCTTTCCTGAAAGCAAATGATCTCCAAAGTGTGATGGGCTCCTTCGCGGCGGGAGGAGGAAGGCTGGGGCCACCTCGGTGCCGACACTGTGTGTGTGGCACGCAGGTGCCCTTGGTGCCCGTGTGAGTCACAGGGAATGCTAGGGCTTGGGGAAGTGCGGCTGATGGTTATGGGAAGTCTTTTTGCTCTTCACGAGTGATTTAGTGTGGGGTGTGTACAGGTATTGGTGAGAAAAGATTTCATTAGAGGAAGAGTCTCTTCCCCCAAATTATATGTTTAGTGCTTCGGTCTTTGATCAGCAGCAGGTTCCAGTGAAATTACTGGGAAGTGGTGAAGGTCAAGCAAACACTTTCTTAAGACATAACTAGTTGTTTAATTGCTTTAATTACATATGCAGCACACTCTCGTCATGTATTTCTCAACCCTTGACTGTTTGTCTCGTCCTTCTCGGCATGGCTCGCCTTCTCTCAAGCAGTTACCAGCTCAAGCCTCTTGTAGATCTCCATCTTAACCCTTTTCTGGCTTAGCCACTTATTTCTCAGTGCCGGAAAAGATCCTATGGATAATTGAGGGTTATCCCTCAGTAGAACTAGCATCCTGTCAGCACTGGTTGCTGATGGTTTGGCTCCAGCTGTGTGCAAGATTATTACCAAAAGCAACAAGAGGACATGAGTTAAACTATGTCTTTTTTGTTGTCTCTCATGGTGGCTTCTCAAAAATGCCTGAGAATATTTATCAATATTTAACAACTACACGTTAATTACTCTCATGTCAATTACTATTTAATGAAGGTTACACATACAAAATTTCAATGACTGGCCTTTAAGTTAGGAGCTTAAGACACAGCAAACAATGTCTCCAGCCACCAAACATTCCTGTTACTTGTATAATGCAAGAGAAAGGAAAAATCCAGTAAGGAGCAAATGTGTCTTGGATGTGTCGCGAGGATCAGAGCTGCTGTTCCTTGAAATTGTAGCGTCCGTGCTTGACAGTAGGTGGCATCTGCTCCTTGGCTATTGCAAAGATCACAAGCAAGGCCTGCGTGGTGGCGGGAAACCCTACATGGAGCGCATGGGGAACTTGTAAAATAATTCCAGTAGTTTAAAACTTGTGGAGGGAAACAAACAAACAAACAAACAAAAAACCCCAAAAATGGACTAAAATCCCACTGGGACATACAGCATGCTTGTTGTGTTAAATGTGTGGCTTTTTAATACAAATTTGAGGAAGAATAACACTTTTAAGAAGTCTATTTCTAACTTCTGTCAAGGAAGATGAAGTTTGTCACCCACTGGAAGTAAGTTCATCATGATAGAAGTGGGGTGGGGGTATCTTGTTCTGCTGCCATGTGCATCTCCCGGTGTCTCGTGTTACCTTGGTGTGTCGCAGGTTTTGGCTGATGTGTTTCTGTTCAAATGTAGCGACTCCAAGTGGTTGTTAATGCCTGCCTAACAGACACAAATTTACATGGATGTTTTGTGTGTGTAACTCTGGGCATGTGTGTGGGTGAATTTCACGGGGAATTAACAGCTGAATCTGCATTAGCGGAGTATCTGCCTTGGTGTCCAGACTTGGGCTAAAAAGCTGGTGCTCAACACTTACTGTAAGCCTCTCAAGGCCTAAGCAGAACGAACATACTCAAATTCCTCTATGTATTTCAAAGTCTTTGGCCTTCTGCACTTAGAAATTACAACCAGCGCTGAGAATAAGCAAAAAAGCACCCGTTAAAATACTGGATTATGTGTTAGTATCCCTAAATGTTAGTGCAGTGTTGTGCAAAGCAGTCTTTGAGTGGGTAGGACTGCCCTTAAGTCTAGCACCAGCTTATGTCGTGTATTTAGTTGGTGTATTTATTTTGAAGGAAATAGCTACTTACAGGGTGGGCACAACAACTGAAATTGATCTGTGGGTTTAGTTCAGTGGTCTGCACCTTATGTAAGCTTGGTATTTCAAATAAATTATAACAGTATGGATTAATATATAAATATATATACATATAAAAGGTATTCTAGCTAGTTGTGGTTGTTGTGGTTTGACAATTCCAGAGTTGAGTCTGGGTCCCTGTGGCACCCTCTGCATAATCAGGAGTCCTGAAATACCTTCAGAAAGCATCACCTAAGAGGCCTGGGGATGCTGTTACGCACTCAAGCCGCGGGAGAGGCTGCTTGGATCT